ATGAGATGATCAACTTGAGGCAATTGAAAAATAAATGATGAATTTTCAATTTTATGACGAAATTTATTGAGGAATTGACACAATTCACAATGATATCGCTAAAATTTACTGATAATGCTTATATTGGGTTATGTCAGATCAAACTAAATTGCTCGAGAAATTTTTTAATAGCTCTCATTAAGGACTTGAAGATGTTGTTTAAAAATAACTATTTTTAATTGAACTATAAAAAAAAGTTGAGGGGATAATTGATAATTTTCTTCCTTATCTCAGCAATTAATTTTATGACAGGTGGCACTTAATGGCTTAAAGTTGATTGATTCATGATGCTACGAACCTTGCTAAGTCATTGATAAGATGATCTGATACTTCTGGTTAGGAATTTAGACAGGACAGAGAAGAATTGTGTTATTTGCCTCCTCGGGACCACCTTCTTTACAGCAATTTCTGAATTTTGAATTTCTATCAATTCGCTGGTTTCCTTTTCAAAACACCCTATTTAAAAATATTCTAGCTGCTCCACTTCTTTTGATAATGTGGTTTGATTCAGACAGAGGGTCTCAAAATGTGCAATGGGGGTGTTGGACGGTAAAATGAGGTACAATGGTATGCAAGGGCTATGATTTAAGCTATGGCTTTATTTTTAACATTATGGTCAATTAAATAGATCTAAAGACATCTGATAAGCATGTTTCAACAATTTTGGAACTAAAAACAGTTAAGACTTGTCCAACAAATCAAGTAGAGAGTCAATTTAGGCTTAACAAAAGCTATTGATCCTCAGCAGCCAATTCATAAGTAATATGACTCTAAATAAGATCATTCATCATTCACTTCAATTCATTAAATACCAACAAGCCCAATAAAATTGCATTTCACTGAATCAAGCTCATCAGATAATATTTCATCAACATAACAACTGCTGTTGCCCAAAATCCTTCTCAGAAGATCATCAAAAGCTCCGTAAAAATAATTCCCAAGTCGAATTATTGCAGAAAATTTCACAAAAATTTTCTCACAAAACATCTTCAAAAATTGCTTGAACCCTTTTGTGTTGTTCAAATACTCCTACATAAGTATGTTACCTACATATGTTCATCCCCATATGAGAGTACTCTCACATTACCCATCATGTTATGAACAATTTTTAAAATAAGAATTTCTTTTCATTATTAACATTATTTGTATCAAAATAAAAGAGGAGATAAAGAAGTACGAGATATGACCTTCAAGACACGAAAAGAATGGATGAGAAGTAAAAAGAATTTCACGATATGCTGGTTATGGATGATGAAAAGAAAAAAAAACTCACTTATGTGATATGATAAGATGATGAAACTTTCATTGAGGATAATATGGACATTGTAATGATGATGATGATGATTAAGGTACTTTTTCTACCTTTTCAGTTTCCACTTCTATAGCTTCAATTTCCCACAAAACTTGAGAGTCAATTTTATTCTCAACAGAATAAATAAAGATGGAATTTTTTTTTTCGCAGTGTCGGAATTATCAAAAAAAAAAGTTTTCAGCAATCTCAACAGATTTCATTAATTATCGCAAGATCAGATGTTTTAAAAAACTTAATCAAATAAAAAATGAGGAGTCACGTTTCTCGTCAGACTTTGTTTTGATATGTGTAGTGTGTCGAGACAGACATGACGCTTAATGTGTTATGACAACAAGTTCAGCACTGTCCTTACAAAATATATAAACTGGGAAAAAAAAACTCTTGTAAGACATGATAATATTATTTTGTGGATGTGGAGGTGATACTATGATGAAATTTGCGCTGTTTATTGCTAAGAATGGTTTTTGTGGGTTATTTTTGGAGATTATTGTTTGGAATATTTGTGATTTTATTCAAGTTTAATTAGGATTTGTAGATCTCCTTATAACTGCCATATGTGTATACACTAATGAATAAACAAGTCAGCTTCGATGGAATTCGAACTCACAACCTCCAAAGAGGCGATATCTGACCACTCGATTAGTGATCCCTTCCACTAGATCACCGAGGTACTTATCTCACTTCGGCTATCCGTCATACCAATTTCAACGCGAGCCCTATGCTCAGGCCTATGCTCTTCGAGCCATATCCACAGGATTTGAACCTTTTAATGCATAGCAACTTTTAAAATCTACAATAAGAGGCTCAGGACATTCATTATTAGGACCTACGATTTGTCATACGTTAATCTACTCAAACTTTGTATTAAAATTCAGAATAATAAAAATGATAACCTCAGCAATTGATTAGACTGCGAATAAAGGTTCACAAAGTTATCAAATAAACCGGCTTGAGCCAATTTGAGCATTATTTTTGGTACTACGCAGTTATATTTGATTGCTTTACCCATTTATATGTTTGTGGTGTTTTCGATAAGAATGTGGAACTGATTAGCTCATTTTTGGCAATTTTCGGTAAGTTAAAATTCTTAACAGAGTTAAATATGAGTTATTGAGATATATGTAGGCAAATCTGTCAGTTTAAGAGTAGGGCCTCTTTGTACTAGCAGTATAATATCGTATTCTGATATCTATAACTGTATTTTGTGAGGATGTGAGGTTCGATATCCATCAGAGGCTCGTTTTTTAAATAGAGTTTTGTTGATATGATAGAGATTCGAACTTTCTTCATGACATTTAAAGACTGCTAGGAAGATCGAAATTCTTCAGGGTTGTAATTATTAGTTGCACAGACTCGCCTGTTTGTTCAAGAGTGTATTAATGTTTGGATATTAACTCCTGCATAATGCATTGATCAGGCGCGTAGCCAAGAGGGTCTTGTCCCCCTCTTTAGCGTTAAGGCCGTGCTCTCGCTGCGGTTCAAACGTTTAACATTGATTGATTATTTTAAAAATCTAATCAAATAAACCACTTAAAAGTGCATCTACAGTAGCGCTCAAAATGATAAGGACAGCAACTTTTTTTTTACATTTTTATTTATTTTGACTCACAGGATTATCTAAATTTGCTGAAATTTGGACCAGTTATACAGTTTTAAATGTCCTTTCATACAATATATACTAATTGTACTTTAATTAAATATTTTTGAAAAAAACGGTAAAAAATCAAAATGGCTGCCGCTCAAAATGATAAGGACAGTAGATTATGTTAAGATTTTATTATATTAAGTAATATTATGGAACTTTTAAGACTTAAAACATTATGTTTGATGAATATTCTTTAAATAAATTTATAATTCATGCTTCTAGATGTAAGACTTCTTATTTAATTTTAGTGTTTAAAAATATGTAAAAATTTTGTCAATTTATGATAAATAGTCGTACAGAAACTTGTTTATTCTTTAGGTTAACTACCAAAAATTATAGATAATTTGATTATTTATCAATTTATGATCAAACATTTAGATAACTGTTAATTAATGTAATTTTTTTTCAAAAATTTTATTTTTCCTTTGCGAAATTTTTGTGAACTTAACTCGACAATTTGAAAAAAAATTGTTAAATATTCGCAAAACAATGCTTAAATTAGTATATTTCTCTTCCATTTTAATTGTTTAATAACATATATCAAGCACTTGAACCACTTCGAAAGGATAAGTGACTAAGCAATCGTTCTCTATGAGCTTCTCAAGACGAAAAAATATGAAGAAATATTTTTTTGTAAAAATGTTAAATTTAGCACTCATAGAATACAAAATAGAGTGTTATTCGATTAAAAAAGCCAAATTTAATTATTTTATGTTAAAACTTCACTTATGTAAATCATATTTTTTTAGGTTCCAACACATTTTTCATTTTTGCCATATCAAAAAGTCCGTTGTTGAAAGAGAACGATTGCTTAGTCACTTTTCCTTTCGAAGTGGTTCAATTGCTTGATATATGTTATTAAACAATTAAAATGGAAGAGAAATATACTAATTTAAGCATTGTTTTGCGAATATTTAACAATTTTTTTTCAAATTGTCGAGTTAAGTTCACAAAAATTTCGCAAAGGAAAAATAAAATTTTTGAAAAAAAATTACATTAATTAACAGTTATCTAAATGTTTGATCATAAATTGATAAATAATCAAATTATCTATAATTTTTGGTAGTTAACCTAAAGAATAAACAAGTTTCTGTACGACTATTTATCATAAATTGACAAAATTTTCACATATTTTTAAACACTAAAATTAAGTAAGAAGTCTTACATCTAGAAGCGTGAATTATAAATTTATTTAAAGAATATTCATCAAACATAATGTTTTAAGTCTTAAAAGTTCCATAATATTACTTAATATAATAAAATCTTAACATAATCTACTGTCCTTATCATTTTGAGCGGCAGCCATTTTGATTTTTTACCGTTTTTTTCAAAAATATTTAATTAAAGTACAATTAGTATTTATTGTATGAAAGGACATTTAAAACTGTAAAACTGGTCCAAATTTCAGCAAATTTAGATAATCCTGTGAGTCAAAATTAATAAAAATGTAAAAAAAAAGTTGCTGTCCTTATCATTTTGAGCGCTACTGTATATAAGTCACGACAAATCTAAATTAATATATTTTTAAACATCAATCTCCTTTTGATCCCCTAGAATCTTACAGCAACTAGTTATTTCATCAATAAATCTTAACTAGACTGTCATCTGTCATTACATTCGTTCACATTCACCTACATTAAAATTTTAAATGCCCGAAAAATATCTTCAGCATCAAATGTTCACAAAACTTCACACAAAAATCACGGCTTATTCAGAAAAAAAAGTCTTCGACAAGAATCGGCACTAAAGAGAGATGTGTCCCATGTCATGATACACAATATAATTCTTCCGTTTCAAGGCATCAGAAGTAAGAGGCAAAAAAAAATTCTAAACATCATGATTAAGCATTGTATTCTTTATGTCCCCATAATAAAAGGGATATTTTAAGCTTTAAACGCCCACAATGAATGGATATGCCTAATAACTTCTTATGGGAATTAATTTTTTTTTTATTCGGAATTTTTCCTTTTTTTTGTTGAGCATAAAGGCATGAACTGTACTTACAAGTGTCGCTCTTTGTCCATCTTTTAACTTCAAGTCTTCTACTTTATAATTTCCTTCTTGATTGTTGATCGTAATCCCACACATTTTGCCTTAACTTCCTTTCTTTATTTTTCCTTTAATTGTTTCGCGTAGTCACTTGTAGCTTGAATGTTCTAATGAGTGCAATTTTTTTATGGATTAAAATGTTTCCTCGTGCCTTCTTAGCGATTTTTATGGTGCTTCACTATCGTGGTTTATTATTTAAAATTTGAAAAATAATTTAAGCTCAACAGGTTTTTTTTCTTGTCACAAACACTCCCGAATTGACTTTTTCTAGTTCCACTAAAAAATTAAAATTACAAGAAAATTTGAAATCTACTTGTTGAATCGCCGAAGGCTTGAATGAAAATGAATTAAATAGTTTCTTTGCAGTGTTGTCTTATTGAACGAAACTAGTCACTCCGTTTTTTGTCATAACTCTCTGCTCTCCCGCTCACTGTTACTCTTGACTCAATAACTGTGTGTATTTAATCTAATACCGCATTCGTAGTGTGTATTGATACATAAGTTCAATACTTACTGACACTTTTTTTTTCTTTTCTTCTTGTTTGTGAATGATATGGGCTATGTTGTGGGGGTATGGCAAGTTAGAATCAATTGAGACAGTTTGTCTGGGCTGTTATCTATTGCTGTATTGTTTAATAATTTGTGCCTATTTGTGTTTAGGTTGATTTATTTTTGAAAGCTAGACATATCCTAAACCATTCAAAGATTCAACACTGCTCTTAAAATTATCAGTTCACTCTTTAAATTCTCAATTTGATCTCAAAATTCTCAAATTGCTCTCAAAATTCTCAAATCACTCTCAAAATTCTCAATTTGGTCTCAAAATTCTCAATCTGGTCTCAAAATTCTTAATTCACTCTCAAAATTCTCAATTTGGTCTCAAAATTCTCAATCTGGTCTCAAAATTCTTAATTCACTCTCAAAATTCTCAATTTGCTTTCAAAATTTTCAGTTCGATCTCAAAATTCTCAATTTCTCAAAATTATTAAATTATCCTCAAAATTCTCAATTCACTCTTAAAATTCTCAATTTACTCTCAAAATTCTCAAATTGCTCTCAAAATTCTCAATTCACTCTCAAAATTCTCAATTTGCGTTCAAAATTCTCAATTTGCTATCAAGTTCTCAATTCGCTCTCAAAATTATCAAATTACTCTCAAAATTATCAAATTACTCTCAAAATTATCAAATTGCTCTCAAAATTCTAAATTCACTCTTAAAGTTCTCAATTTGGTCTCGAAATTCTCAATTTGCTCTCAAAATTCTCAAATTGCTCTCAAAACTCTCAATTTGTTCTCACAATTCTCAATTTACTCAAAAAAATCTAAGATTTTCTCTCATAATTTCAGATTTAATATCTAATTCTCTCCCAAAAATTCTCAAATGCGCCTTAACATGACAGCCAAATCCAATCATTTTAAACGTATTTCTTTCTTCCTATCATTCAAAATTACGGAAAAGTATGTAAAGAAAAAGAAAAGAGAAAAAATAAGAAAAAGTATATAAACAGTGATCTATGTGTGGCATTGCTTAAAAAAAAGTTACCAAAAAATATACGACACAGAGACACGACAATAAAAACACACGATGATAAGTTCGACGCAGATGTTTTATGTATTTATAGAGTCATTTAAATCACATGTTGTTGCGACTCTCAACTCGACCGGTGAATGATAAAATAAAAACTTTTTATTTCTCTTTCTCAATTTTCTTTAAACTGGATAAATCTAGAATGATTTTCTCTAATGTGAATTGTGCATAGCTAACGACTCTCGAGCATACTTTAGATGACATGCTTATAAGCTTAATGGAATTGAATGTGATTCATTTGAAAATTATCTACATACTTAGACAGAGTTTTGGAACCGGAAATTTTTTTTTTCTTTGATGTTTACTTAATTTTTTATGTACATGCTTAGTGGCTGCTTAGAATTCGGCGTTTTGCTGTGCTTAGCTCAATTTTTTTTCTAATCAACATGTTTTCATTTTATTTCGGTGGAGGTGTATGAAGTGAGCAATATTATTATTTATTTTGGCTCATAATTCACATGTGAAGCACACAGAAGTATTGTTTCCGTACAAACAGCTACGCAGTTAATAAGAGAAGATAACTTACAAGATAAACATAGCAGAAACAGAAGATCTTTTGATGATTAAAAGAGAAAACTAATTAAAATTGTAAATTTAAGGTTATCAACTTAATTTGCAGACAATAAGAGGAAAGTAAACCTATTTTCAAGACAAAATTGCATAGAAGCTGTCAAAGCTTAATTTAGCAATTTTATTAAGAACAAGCTGGCTACATTCTTATCTGATCCGCAATAAATCAAGAAATTTGTTTGTTTTTACTATTTATTGACTCTTCTTTACTATATACAGCATAGTGCAGTAAATTAGTTCCATTAATCTTATGATTTATGTTTAAAATTAGTTGCAAAGTTGTCATTCAAATGTGATATCAACCAAATAGTTCTCAAAATACTAGTTCTTCCCCAATTCAGGACCAGTGTTGCATTCTGGCTATTTGTCTGGATCAGATAAATTCTGAGACAGAAATTTCTTCATAAAGATCGATTCTATATGAAGATAGAAAATCTAATCTACACAAAGATTATTTCTACATAAAGATTCGATGTAGATGTCTACAATTCTACATTCTTCTCTGATGTAGACCTCGAAAAAATGTAGAATTGTAGACATCTACATCGAATCTTTATGTAGACAGAATCTTTATGCACAAATAATCTTTGTGTAGATTAGATTTTCTATCTTCATGTAGAATCGATCTTTATGAAGAAAGTTTCTTAGCTAGACAAAAATTATTGAAGAATCTACATTCTTCATCTAGTGTAGACATCTACATTTGCAACACTGTTCAGGACAGTGAGAAACATTTCCGTTATTTTTTTGAAATTTCCCGAACTATTTTACGAGACTGTTTATGAAAAAAGTATGTTCGAAAAACATCCTAAAAACCAAACTACTAGTTTTCTTTAATTAATGCTTTTTGTTACTTCAGTATGACTTTAGTAGTATTATGTGAAAGCTAGGAATGCATTAACGCTATTTTAAAAGCCAAAACACAATAAATTAAGTTGAAATTAGAGAATTTAATTTCGATTTAAAATGTAAACAAATCTTTTTCTAAAATAACGTTGTCTTATGTTATAATAAGAACTTAATAATGAAAGATCAAAACAAAAATATTTGTGAAATATATTTTCAATGAATTTTAATAATGTATTCCATGCTGACCAAACAAATGCAGATTTTGTTAAGTTTTACAAAAATCTGTCAACAGCTTCAAAAACATACCTTGGCTTGATCCATAAGCGGTAAAATTCAGGTAAGAATTATTTACTTTTTGGCTACAAAATATTTCAAAGAATACTGTGACAAATATTTTTTTAAAACAATAAACGAAGTAAAGAACCTGAATTTGACACGAATTTAATAAGCTCAACTATTCAAAACTCAGAATCGTCTACATTTGTTATTCAGTCAATCTAATATTCAATATAAATTATAATCTTTACAGCTTATATGTTGATGATAGCGCCAATATGAAGTGCCAATATGTAAAACATTTTTCCTAAAATCCATCAAAATTATTTACAAACTATTGCTAATTATCAGTTTGTTTTTCACAGCTGCTGACTTACACGCGTGTCAAAAGAGCAGATCTGATTAATCGGATTTTGATTATATTTGATCGTGAAAATGATGAAATGGCATCAGTGGGCTAAATGGTAGAGTGTTGGCCTTCCGTGTCAAATGTCCTGGGTTCAATCCCAAGCCAAGTCTAATTTTCGAAGCTCTTTTTTCCATTTCACAGCTTATAGTTACTAAGCTCGATTCGTGTGTTGGATGAAGTATTGATGTCTTTGACACAGAATGTGCCTCCTTGGCTAGGTATACAAGGAAACACTAGCATCTGGATGACTTCCTTACTGCATCTTGGCACACGAATTGTGACTAGGTACATTGAAGGGTATATCAGGTCTTATAACGTATCTTTGCAATTTGCAGAGCTTGCATGTGGTTCTGATGCCACTGTAAACTGTAAGTCTAAAGGGTATGGTACAATAGAATCTTTACAAATTAAATCGCAGTGCCTCCAGCTAAAAGGCTAGGTCCTTCACACAGAGGCGTAGCCAGGGGGGGGGGGGGGCATAGGGGGCCCGGGCCCCCCCTACGAAAATCTGATAATTGTTTTATTAAGTATTTATAGAGAAGAACCAGTTAATGTAGAGGAAGTGATGAAAGAAACGTCAAAATCAGCACGAAAAATTAAATTTAATGTATGAATAATGAATTAAATATTTAAACTTATGAAGAATGAATATAGATTTAAGGATACAAAATAACCTTTTTTTTAATTTTCGAAAATGGGCCCCCCCCCCTTAAAAATTTTCTGGCTACGCCCCTGCCTTCACACATTATTATTATTATTAAGGAGCAGAAGCAGGGACGTGGTTGACTCAGTTTTTGAATTTCTTGTTTTTTATGATTTTCTAAGAGAATTCAAGTGAAGAGGATTGTCCTCTTCTAGCTACGATCGCATAATGAAAAGTATAAAAATTCATACCACAATTATATTTTCAAATACATTAATCTGTTGCGCAAATCCAAGAACCTAATCAATTACCATAAATTCACACTTATCCAGCCATCTAATTTTATTTCAATTCTTCAAAACAAATTCACCGAAAGAAGAGCAAAAAAAAATATTCGTAATCTCAACATCATGTGTTAATGTTTGCATATCTCTACGCATATTATCATAATCATCATTATCATTCGCATTTACAAATCTTATGCTCCATACGATGCCGTTTTTCTATTCAATTTTTCATCGCACATAGGAAAAAAGGAACAGAAAAAAAATCATAAATTAATTCAACAGAGATTGTGATTTATTGCTGCTCGTGTTCGTCATAAAAAAAAATCTTTTTTTTTTCATATCATCTGAGTTTTTCATAAAATATCATCGCATTATCATCATAAATGAGATTTACGATGAGAAATTTTCCAGAAGTTTCATATTTAATTATGAATGCTTGAAGTTCGATATTCATTGCCATACTTGTGGACATTAAAAAATAGTGTCAGGAAATGAAACTTTTATGTTGATGGCATGTCATTTTGACTGTGATTTGAATTTTACATACTAAGGTTTAAAATTGAACTAGTTTGTTTTCAAGTAAATCCTTTGACAATGCAAGCATGCTCAAGTCAAGTAAGACTACCTCAATAAGCACAAGTCGGTTAATTGAATAAAAATCCAACGCCAAGCTGGCATGACATTAGCATGGTGCTGACTTCGATTTAAATCCA